CCTCCTCTGGCCCCCCAGGAGCCTCCTCTGGCCCCCCAGGAGCCTCCTCTGGCCCCCCAGGAGCCTCCTCTGGCCCCCCAGGAGCCTCCACAGGCCCCCCAGGAGCAAGGCGCGGGTCATGTCAGGTAGGGCCTCACCTGTAAGGTGCATCCAAACACTCCGATCATGAGCATGGCGATGCACAGGTACTCGGAGAAGACGTCCCACCAGGGCTTCAGGACCCGAAACTGGGAGCTGTGGTCGGAGCCGAGGCTTTTAAACTCCCCCAGCGGGATCATCCTGCCGCTTCACACCTGTGCACACGAAGGAGGGACACTCAGGTGGAGGTGGGCTTCAGACCCTCGCGCCAAGCTGGAGCTCCGTGAAGACATGACGGAGGAGAAGTTGCTCCCCCACCAGGAAACAGCAGAAACCTGACGTCATCATTTACTTGTTCTTGACGCACGCGCCTCGTTAGTGAACAACAAAAAGTTTTCACGCGGACCCACGTGAAAAAGTTCAGAAACTTGTGAACTCGCGACAGTAAAGAGGCGCGCGCAGCCAGGTGAGTCTTACCTGCTCCTTCATCACCTTGAGAGGAAGGTGGGGGCACACACCCCTCCACATCCGGCCACGACTTTCACAATAAAACTCCACGGACAGGCGTGTCCTGAGAGGACGTGACCCTGTCCTCGTGGCCGGCGGCAGCCTTTGATCCTCGTGAGGCGCCCCCCCCCCCCCCCCCCATGTCCTCCACACGGCGTGTTTACCTCATTACAAAATAAAATACACTTTTATGACAGAACTACCTGTCACGTGTTTATTTCACGTCCAAGCAAATGACGTCACTTTGAGACGCTTCTAGAAATTTCTGTGAGAATGAAGCTGAATGTCTGCTGAAACATGCTGAACAAGCTAAAAGGAGCACAACACTAGCTAACAGACAAATCTAGTAAATAATAACAATAATAATAATAATAATAATAATAAATAAGAATCTGTTGGACTCCTGGCAGGGACCAATGCAGACATGTTCCTGTTTTTAGTTTTCTACATTATCCTTACAATCCAGCTGTTTTTGTTACTTTTCTTTTTTTAGCCATCCTATCTGTAAAACAATAATAATCTGTGTGACTTTTTATAACTGTTTGTTGTTGTTGTTCTTTGTTAAACCAGGTCTCTGTTGTTAATGAGTCCTCGAGGCTCAGTGGGACTAACTGTAGAAATAAAGGCTGAATGAAAAAAAAGCTAAATAAAAGCTAAAAGTAAGAAAATGCTGGTTAAAGGTAACAGTATGGAAGCTAAATGCCATGCTAGTTAAAAACAGCTAAATGTTAGCTAAAAGTCACAAGTTGTAAAATGCTAACCAAAAGCAAAAGGTATCAAAATGTGGCTAAAAGCTAACTAGCTAAAAGCAGAAACATGTCAGCTAAAAACTAAAGAGTGGCAAAAGAAAATCAAAACATATAAAAGTTGAAGCATGTTTAGAAAAGAACCAAGTTTAAATTTAATTTAAATCATTTTACAGGGAAAACATTTACCAGTTAATCATTGTGCAACATGTTAATGGTTTTACTGTTAAAAGTACAAAGTGAACGCACGACGACGGGAGGAGGGAACCCTCCTCTGCTCAGAGACGTTTCCTGTCGTGGAGATTGTGAAGATTAAACTTTAATTCTCTGTAAATCCTCTCAGAGGAGGATTTCTATCAGATAATAACAAACTGCAGCTTGAACAGGAAGCTGGGCTCTCAGCCGACACCTGGGTGTTCGTCTAACTGCAGGGGGGGACCGGGGGGTCAGGGCCCACTGTGGGCTGAGAAACAACAACCTCAACAGTTCATCATCAGTGTCTGTACGTCAGGCTCAGATCTTTTAAAGTTTTATTTTGTGGATCAAACGTGAAATTTATTTGTTTATTTATTTACTGGGTCTGGAAAATAGATTCTGTCTGGATCGGGGTCACAGACCAGCACCTGGGAACCCCGAGTTCATTAAAAAACATTTAGGCAAAAAGCCGTTGGTTTGTTTTACGGCAGCGCTCCAGTTAAATATTCATTTTTTAGATGAGTCGTTTTACTCGTTGACCTTCCGGAACCGTTTTTGAATCCACCGTATTCATTCATTCATTCATTCATTCATTCATCCATTCATTCATCCATCCATCCATCCATCCATCCATCCATCCATCCATCCATCCATCCATCCATCCATCCATTCATCCATCCATCCATCCATCCATTATCTTTACCCGCTTCTTCCATTTTGGGTCACGGGGGTCGCTGGTGCCCATGTCCAGCAATCACTGTGTGAGGGGCGGGGGACACCCTGGACAGGTCTCCAGTCCATCACAGGGACACATAGAGACAAACGAGACAAACAACCATTCACTCTCTCTCTCACACCTAGGGACAATTTAGAGTTACCAATCAGCCTAACATGCATGTTTTTGGTCTGTGGGAGGAAACTGGAGCACCCGGAGAAAACCCACGCATGCACGGAGAGAACATGCAAACTCCACCCAGAAAGGCCCCTGGACCGGGGTTTGAACCAGGGACCTGCTCGCTGAGAGGCAGCAGCTCTACCAGCTGCGCCACCGTGCTGCCCCAGGAAAACACATATTTGTAATATTTTAGTTTTTATTGCGCAGAAGTTCTCCTGAAGGTATCTTCCAAACGTTTCGTTATAAAAGTCCATTTTTATTTTTGCTGCCTCTCTCCACCTGTCAGCTGCAAACCTTCAGAACTTTAAATCAGGAACTGGTCGATTATTATTGAAGCCACGAGAAAAAAGAAGTCCAGCCTCTTTTTGACTGGAGCTTGTTCTTCTTGCAGACTGGGGGGAGGACCTTTCACCTCCTGGATTCCTTTCAGACTTTATGGTTCTACAACTTTCTGTTTGTTGCATCACGATGAAAATGAGCTGCTGTGTTCAGATCTTGGGTTGTTTCATGGCTCACTGGGACCAGTGGCCTCACCTTTATTTGGCAGAAGGGATTCATAGTTGACCTCCTGACCCCCTGTTTGTTTCAGATGCTGCGGCTGCAACACAACTATGAGCCTTTTCACCACAGAGGCCGAAGGTTTGAGGACTTCATCATGTTTGATGTTCAGTTCACGTGGATCAATCTGTACGCTGGAGGTGCCACAGCATGTTTTGATCTTGTTCTCCTGGTCTTAGTCAAACCAGCTTCATGTGACCGTAACATTTTTTACGTTGGATCCTAAACCTTCTTCATCTGAGCTGACCTAAAACGTACGAAGTTCTGATCAAACGGAGCAAAAACATGAATTAAACTCCAAAGTTGTCGGCAGAAAAGGACAAACTGAGTTTTGTTTCTGAAACTTCGGCTGTCATCTGAAGTAAGCCACCTGAAGTAAATCACCTTAAGTAAGCCTCTTAAAGTAAGTCATCTGAAGTAAGTCACCTGAAG